AAATTATCCTTGAATTTAATTAAAATAAGATCATCTCAAATAATAAGACTAGCTTATTTTCTACAATGTCCCACCTTTACCTCTCTTTGTAAAAGTCTTATGTAGTCTTTAGATCCATACTTAATTTATACACTTAAGTACATAGCGTGATTATATGCATTGGGTCTTATAAAAGAAAGAGATCTAACTATTAGTCTATGAAAGAAAATATATGAGAAACTAATGATCTCTCTCTAAGAATTAATTCTCCTTAAAGAAGGGTTCATTATTTGGGAGAGATCATTAATTTTTCCCACATTCTTCTTTTCATTTTCAAGCGACACGCTCCGATAGGGTTCTTGTTCGTTAGTGTATGGTTGGTTCGTAAAACTACCGCACGCGATAGCGGTTTTATCCCATTAGGAGAGTACTCATATTTTTTTTTTGGTGCGGGAGGCGGATGAAGTGGCAGCGTGGCAATGGCAAATCCACGAAAGACGTTTTGAAGATCCAAAAACTTATTTTCAATTTTGTTTATTTTGTAATATCCTGAATAAAGTATAAATTCAAAATTTTAAAGATTACTCCCTCCGTCCTAAAATTAATTTCCCAATTTGACTTTTGTAGTCAAATTTTTTAAACTTTGACCGTATATTACGGAAAAAATATATTGAACTTTCATATAAATTTATTAGCAATAGATTCATTTTGAAACATAGTTTTGAAATATATAATTTTTATAAAATATATTTATATAAAAATTGAGATATTAATGGTCAAAGTGTCGCATTGGAGACCGTGAAAAGTTAAATGGGAAGTTAATTTTAGGACGGAGGGAGTATTATTTTTCGGGGCTACTCATATTCCCCATCCCTTGTAATTTGTAGTACCTCTTTGGCAAATTCTTATACAGTATTGAATCCATACTTATTTTATACACTCTATCGTTGGGTCTTGCATGCAAAAGAAAGAGCTATACCTATTAGTCTATAATAGAAGTATGTAAAAACATTTATATTTCAAATTTAGATATTAGAGGATCTAACAATAGCAAGTATAAAAATGGAATGCCACACATTCACTGATTGGCATGACATAATATAATTCAACCAAATAAGAAGTAATCCAGTCAGCGTGTGAAAAATGAGTGCAGTGAGTCATGCAGTGGCAAGTCATTAATTTTATCGGTTTTACTTTTTTAAACATATTTTAATTACGGAGTATTAAAAGTTACTCCCTCCGTCCCTAAATAAACTTTCCCTTTCGTTTTTTCTTTGTCCCCAAAAAAACTTCTTTTTTCCCTTAAAAAACCACTTTTACCCCTTACTTTTTCATACCCTACCTATCACATCATACATTTTTACTAATAATCTACCCATCACATCTTACTTTTGGAAAGTCAACACCAAAGTATCCCTCCCTTAATTTCCCAAAAAGTCAATAAGGGAAGTTTATTTAAGGATGGATCGGAGGGAGTATTTTAATTACCTTTTTTCAAAAAAAATCTTTCTACTTTTTTTTAAAAAATCTTTATTTTATGAAAAAACCCAAAAAAAAGAAAAAAAAAGAGAAGCATGACACACGCATGGAATGCCAAGCATGCCAAATTACCCATGCAGACATTTTATAAAAGTGGATAAGGTGGCAGCGTGGCAGTTGCAAATCCACGCCAGTGCCGATGCTCTTAGAGCATTAGCAATGGCATTCCATCACTATGCCACTATCTGCCACATCAGCATTTGGAGGCATGTTGCCATGCGTGTCAGCGTGTCTAGGGCGAGTCTCCCCTCAATCCGAGTAGCCTGCACTACTACGAATGTGAAGCGCTATACCAATTTTTTGGTCGTGAATTTTTTTGGTCGCGAATGTTACGGATAACCGATGCAAATGTGAAGTGCTACGCAAATTTTTTTTCCTTTTAAATCGTTTGTTCCTCTTAGCGATGCAAATGGAGTGATTTATTTGGTCATTTTTGTAGTAGTGCTGCAAGGCAAAATGGCCACTAAGTATTTTTTGTTTTCTTTTTAATTTTTATTTTTTTCTTTGGATAAGGGAATCTGTGGCCATCAACACATCTAACACATCTATACTTCTTTACTCCATATTTATTTTCTTTTTTTTCTTTTGTACTCACTTCGTTTCTTAAAATCCTTCCTCTTTCATTTTTTTGTTTTTCTTAAAACACTTCCATTTTTTTATTAAAAAACCACTTTTACCCCTTCTTTTTCATACCCTACCTATCACATCATACTTTTTATTTCACTAACAACTAAACTATCACATCTTACTTTTATCCATCACATGAAGGGCAAAATTGGAAAGTCAACTACAAAACATTTCCTTATTTTCCTCTAAAGTCAAAAGAGGAACTCTTTTGAGAAACGGAGGGAGTATTTCTTTGTTTGTTTTCTTTGAAAAACAAAGCACACATTTGATCATCAAATGCCCTCATCTATGGAGCATTTTTTCTTTGTTACTCCATATGATAAGATAAAAAATAAAATAGGAGGCACTTTAATAATTAAAATTCTCAAAAAAAAATTAAAAGTTACAAAAAATAATGGCTTGCCACTGTAAGGTTTGCCACTTCACTCACTCACCACTCTATGACTGGACTATTTTTTATTGGTTGGAACATGACATGTCAGCGTGTGACATATCATTTTTTTTACTTGTCATTGCTTGTGTTCTCAAGACTACAATTGTACAATTCTATTTCTTTAGATTTAGAGTATACCCACTTTGTTACCTACATATGCCAGCTGTTTCAAAGTTGATTTTCTTAACTTCATTAAAAGATAATTACTCATTTATTACTCCTATAGATAGTTCGAATTTGAATGCTGCCTGTCCGTCTCCGTAAATTTCCCCGTTTTGTATTACATCATCGACTTTATTTTCAGTTTAATTTATTTATTGTAGATCTAATGTTTAAAAATAATATATATATATATATATATATATATATATATATAAAATAAACTATAATAAAAGCTCTTCTAAAACAAGAGAGAACAAGTCTATATTATTTATTGAAACGAGAAATAAAAACAAACAAACAAAGTTAGTTAAATTTGATCATGTGAATAGTATTTGAGAAGATATATGGACAACGGAGAAAGAAATATAAAAATACACTATAATTCATGGAAGAATTCACTGGATAAAAGTAAAAATATTATGAAAATACCAAAAGAGGAATCTTAAGTCTTTTATTAAAATAGAAGCTCACATTGACATTGTTAAACTGCTGCACTTACCACATTGTTACATTCCAACCGCCACACTATCACTACTACACTGTCATCCGTTGCTGCCTCCCACTATAGCCATGCCCCCGATCGATCACCGACGTTGACCGGTGGTCCTTCGGTGGTCGGCTGATCACCTTCCCACATTACGTTGTCATTACTTTTTCATTTCACTACCAACACAGCAACACTCGTACATCACACGACCAGTATACTTTTATTCAGATTTTAAAAGTCTTAAGACATTTATTTCGGTGTTTTTCTCTTTTTTTATTCTTATCAAAGAAGATTTCTTATAATTCACGAGTATCTTCTACACATTCTCAAGGATTTGCAGGCTACGCTCAAACTTTTTAGCAAGAATTTCTTGGTTATTCTTTAGCTTACAACTTGAGAAAAAGATGACTATTTGCAAAGATGTGTATGAAAATACAAAAATAAATTAAAGTTCTACACCTTGGCCTACTACAAATGATTAATATTAATACTTGGCGAGTGTGGAAGGAAATTAAACACCGAAGAAATCACCGCTATATATAATAAAGATCTAATAAATCACGCATTATAATTTTAAGTAATTATATATTTATATGGAGTGAAAGTGAAACCCATGAAATTGATTTATGGAATGGAGGAATTAAGCATTTGAGTATCATTCCATTTTCACCTCATATGTTACAAAAAAAGTTTCTGGTGTGGTTTCAAATTAATTTATTTAAAAGATTATCATAAAATTTGAAAAATATTGTTTATTCAAATATCACACCAAAATCCTCGTAAAATATTTTATTTTATTTTATTTTATTCATTAAAAATAGAGTTAGTGAAGTCTCATATGTACCACATAATAGAAATAACATTTCCGAGCGAAGAGAGTATTATTAAGGGTAAAAGGGCCTTAAAAAAGGTTAAATGGTGATTTTAATTAAAAGAGAGTATTTTTTGGACGGATGAAATGTGAAAGTAGAGAGATTTTTTTTGAAATGGAGGGTGTAGATAATTTCATATAAGTAATCTAGACAATGTAATAACATACTTCTTCCGCCCCAAAAACTATTTTTTTCTTGTCTCACAAAGTCATTCCATTATCTATTAAAAAAATATTTTAATCCCTACAAATTCTTAATTTACCAATCATATCTTAATTTTTTACTAATAGTCTTCTAATCACATTAAGGATGTTTTGGGAAAGTCAAGACAAATGTATTTCTCCTTTAAATTTTATTCCCTCCGTCCCTAAATAGATTATAATTTTCTCTCTCTCCTCTCGATAACTTTTATTTGCTTACGCGATTTCATTAAGTATTTGATAAAATAAAATATTCTTGACATCTTTTGTTTTGTAGAACTTTTGACGTTGTTTTTTAATATATAATTTTTATATCTTATTGATATACCAATTTGTAAATAAAATAATTTCAAAAAGTAGAAAATTTTACTACGTAACCCGCAATTTGTAATTAAATTGGAGACGGAGGGAGTATTAATAATTAACTAACGGTAAATCTTTTTGAATTTTATTAACTCAATCACAATGGATAGATTTGATGTAGAGGTTTAATAGAATAATTGATAGATTACTAGAGTTAATTAATATAACAGGCCGGTCAACGTGATCAAAACAACATACATAGATTACCACAATCTACGTTACAAATGAAAGGAAGAAAAAAAAAAGTCAAAACCAACTTTTTCTTCATTCACACACACATTACACTTGAATGTGGTCTCTCAACTTTCCTATAAAGTTCAACTAATGAAACCCATCCATCACTGTATTTCAATTATTCTCTTAATAAGACCAGACAAATTCCAACTTCCAACACCACACATAAATATAATGGCAATAATGTTCAGATATTCTACGTTGTTTACTCTACTGAGTGTTGTGGTCAGTTTTGATCAAGTGTTATTAGTGAAGGGAAATGAGGTGGTGGTTGACATGGGGATGGCGCCGGCGCCGGCTCCGGCGATAGGAGGTATGGTGCCGGCCATGTTTATATTTGGAGACTCGCTCATTGACAATGGAAACAACAACAATCTATTCTCACTAGCTAAGGCCAACTATCCCCCTTATGGAATCGACTTCAAGAAGGGTCCTACCGGCCGCTTCTCAAACGGTTACACCATCGTTGACGAAATTGGTACGTTCATTTTTATTTTCGTTTCTTATTTTATATATATGAGTCGAACCGGGACATTGATTACTACTTTTTTACGCCATATTGACCAAGTAAGCTATGTTCTGGTGACACTGATATCTGCTTGGAATTGGTGCACATGTGTAGGGGAACTGCTTGGATTACCATTTGCTCCGCCGTACTCGGATTCTCCCAGCATAGACCAAATGCGTTATGGAGTAAACTACGCCTCAGCCGCTGCTGGCATTCTTGATATCACCGGGGAACACTTCGTAAGCCTAATCTTTTACTCTCCGTTTGATAAAACAGTTCCACTTTCACTCTTCGATCACTCTTCCCATAAAAACCTTTATTTTTCATTGAAACCTCTATTTTATTCTTACGATCTCTGACCCAATCCATCACATCAAATTTATTAACAATTGATCCACTCATCACATCGTGTTTTTACACATCATATCACAAGGCAAAATTGAAAAGTTCACTACGAGTACAAAATATACATTCCTTAAATTTGTCTAAAGTAAAAAAACAAAGCTCTTTTGCGAAACAGATCGAAACACTAATTATTTGATAACATTTTCAAAACGTTAAAACCAAAGTTTACCTACATGAATTTGCAGGTGGAGCGCGTTCCGTTCAACGAACAAATCACAAATTTTGCGAATACAATAGACGCACTGTCGGGCAATTTAAGCGCGGATGTGGTGAAAGCGGACATACCGAATTGCATCATGTTTGTGGGGATGGGTAGCAACGACTACCTCAACAACTACTTTCTCCCTGGTTACCCAACAAGTATGATGTACAATCCTCAACAATTTGCTGATCTTTTGATTCAGCAATACACCCAACAACTCACTGTAAGAACCCAATAATCCAATCAATCATTGTTCCATAACATTAAAATTCTCTTTTCCTTTTATTTATTTAACTTGTTTAAACTAAATGGTCATCATATCATCATCTACTATATATAGAGACTGTACAGTCTTGGAGCAAGGAAGTTTGTACTGGCTGCGGTTGGACAGATGGGATGCATCCCAACAATGCTGGCCAGAACTGAAAATGGGAAGTGCTTAGATGAAGTGAACCAAGCAGTTGTCCCATTCAATGCCAACATGAAGCAGATGATCGACAACTTCAAGTCCACTCTCCCCGACGCCAAGTTTGTCTTTCTAGACACCCAAAACATGTTCCGAAACATCATCGCCAACTCCAAAACATACGGTACGTACCACACATTATTTTTAAATAGTTTGGCTCGATTTTTTAAGACTCGATGCATGATAATTCGTTCTTTTGTGGAAAATTTTTTCAGGGTTTAGTGTGATCGATCGCGGTTGTTGTGGGGTTGGGAAGATGAATGGGGAAGTGACATGTCTTCCATATGAACAGCCATGTGATGACAGAGAACAGTACATATTTTGGGATGCATATCACCCCACATCTGCTGTCAATATAATACTTGGGAAGATGTCTTTCAATGGAGGCCCTGATGTTGTGTACCCCATGAACATTCAGCAGCTTGCCAAGACTGAAGTTTGGCCATTTTAAGATTATGTGAAACTCATCATCAGTTCCATTTAATCATTTTATTGAACATCTAATTCATATCAAGGGATTATTCAATCGTTTATTGCAATGTGTAAGCGAATATGAGGTGTTGGATTGGTTATGAGTTATGACAATTGAAACTTGGGGATATTTTTTTAAAACCTATGCAGTCATTACTTCAATGGTTGTCTAAAAAAACTTCAATGTATAATCTAATACTCTCTCTCTCTCTTTGTGCGAGAGTATTTGTTTTTTTAGACTTTTTGTGGTCAATCAACATTGACTTTTGACATGTAATTAAATACTCTCTCCGTCCGAAAAAAAAGTTCCCACTCTATGTTTTTATTGTCCGAAAATAAACTTCCCATTATACGTTTTCATACTCATTCTTCCAAAAATACCCTTCCCACTCTTTTTCTTTCTAATCTATCTACTCATCCTTCTGTCTCTCTCCCCCCACCCGATCCCCTTCTTCTTCTTCTCCCATTCTTCTTCTTCTCTCATTCTTCTTCTTCTTCATACCAGAATCCCCTTTTTTTTCTATCCCTCCTCTTTCCCCAAATTGACTCCTACTCCTTTTTTCTTTCCTTCTTTTCCCAAAAAATTGCTGCTGGGTACCTCAGATTTTGTGGTAAGGACTGTCAGGTACCTCTAATTTTTAAAATATACTAAGAGGTACCTTAAATTATACAAAAACTTACCAAAGAGGGACTTTTCATCTATCTTCCGTCAATTATATCCTTCCGTCACTTTTCTTCATCACCATCATCATCATCATGCCCATCATCTTCTATTCGTCCTTCCTATTTTCTTTCTTTCTTCCCACACCTTCCCCTTTTCCTTCTTCTTCTCCCATTATTATTATTATTATTATTATTATTATTATTATTATTATTATTATTATTATTTTAATTTACCTAAATAGGACTAAAACATAATGACTTTCCCAAAATAGGACCATATGTTTTTTATTTCCGAATGTAGGATCTTTGGTCATTATTCTTTAGTCATTATTCAAGTAATGTCTATAATTGCTGGGCATTATTCCTTCCACGAAGACATTATTAAGTCCTATTTAGGGAATAAAAAAGTTTAAATTCTAGATTAGGAAAGTCATTATGTTTTAGTCCTATTTAGTGCAAATTTCACTAAATTATTATTATTATTATTATTATTATTATTATTATTTACCTAAATAGGACTAAAACATAATGACTTTCCCAAAATAGGACCATATGTTTTTATTTTCGAATATAGGACCTTTGGTAATTATTCTTTAGTCATTATTCAAGTAATGTCTATAATTGCTGGGCATTATTCCTTCCACGAAGACATTATTAAGTCCTATTTAGGGAATAAAAAAGTTTTAATTCTAGATTAGGAAAGTCATTATGTTTTAGTCCTATTTAGTGCAAATTTCACTAAATTATTATTATTATTATTATTATTAATTAGTTGTTTACTACTCTAATTTTTAAGAAAAATAACACTCATGCTCCCAACAAAATTTTTTATACTTCATTAATCTTTCACAATCTCCACTTGTATGAAAAAAGTAAAATATTTTTAGTCTTTAATTGAAAACTAGTATTGGTAATTTATTTATGTATAATAATAATGATGATGATGATCATGATGATCATGATAATAATAATAATAATAATAATAATAATAATAATTTTAGAAAAGGGAGGGGTGGGGGTCTGGAATCTAGATCGGAAGAAGAAGAAGAAGAAGAAGAAGAAGAAGAAGAAGAAGAAGAAGAAGAAGAAGAAGAAGAAGAAGAAGAAGAAGAAGAAGAAGAAGAGAAAAACGAGGATGACTGGAGGAGGAAGGAGGAAGACAGTGATGATGATGATGCATGTGGTGATGCCGTGATGATGTTGATGGTGATGATCAACTGACGGAAAAATAAACTTGACGGAGGAGGGATGAAAAGTCTCCCTTTAGCAAGTTTTTACATAATTTAAGGTACCTCGTAGTATATTTTGAAAATTAGAGGTACTTGATAGTTCTTATCATAAAACTTAGGGTACCCATTAGTTGTTTTTTGTTCTTTTCCCCCCTTCATTCCCTTGCTTGTCTTCTCAGATTTGCGGAGATTTGCGATAGATCTATGCAGATCTATGCTTTTAATATCATCATCATTTTCTTCTTTCGTCTCCTCTTTCTCTCCCTTACTTCTTTTTCTCTTTTTCCCAAGTCAGACGATGGTGGCAGTTTGGGGCCACTACAAGAAATGGTCTGCATTGCAACGGCCAAATCCGTTGCAATATTCGTCGTATTCCGTTGCTAATGGACACTTGCAATGGAAATTTCGTTGCAAGTTTGCTGTTGCAAAAACCATTGTTGCAGATTCCTTTCTGCAACGGATATTCCGTTGCATTCGCATTGCATCGGAAAATTGCAACAAAAATTGTCGTTGCAAGTGTTTGCAACGGGAATTTGCAACGGAAATGACATTGCTAACTCCTGCTACAGAATTCTTGTTGCAACGTAATGCAACGGAATTTTGCAACGTCTTTTTTAGTTGCATATTATTGCAACGCCAAATTACAACCGAAATGTCATTGCTAATAGCTGCAACAGAAATTCTGTTGCAAGATGATGCAACCGCACTTTGCAATGTCTTTTCCGTTGCAGAATATTGCAAGGGAAAATGCAACAAATATTCCATTGCAATATTTGCTACAAAAAAATAGTCACGTCCAACTGCAACAAACTATTCCGTTGCATAAATTGAAAACAACCAACACATGATCAAGCTACGTTCACCCTCAATTTTGCGCAAGATTAACCATCAAATAAATGTAAGGAGTATCCTCAAGTTAAACATAATATAACACATACGTAATCCACAAGATAAAAGTTTCAATTCAATATTTTTCATAGTCTAAAATAAGAGTTAATGTACTTGTCACACAAAAAATGTCTATTGTTTCTATTTAAAAAATTAAACCATTACACTAACATTGAGGTGCACTTCCAGCATCATCTCCTCCATCCTCTCTACGGGGCAAGCGATATCCAAACAATCTATGCATCTCTTCCATGATTGTTTGGGCAATAGGTTCACGAAGCATCTGGATAATATCTCCCTTGAGAGATTCTACGATAGACGGTTGAGAGGCAGCATATGATTTAGCAGCAGAACTCATACTCATACAAAAACGCTTGGAAGTCGATTTCTCATGACGCATGGTCTTCGACATCTTTCCTACACCAAAGACACGTTTTTTAGCGTCATGTCCATCAACTGAGGCATAGTACAACTCCTCCTCGGATGCTTGAACATTATCCCGTTGTGTGACCTGCTCCATCGCATCATATGTCGCCTGTACATAATATTACAAAATGTGAATAAAATCAATTAGAACCAACATACAAATTACCTAGAGATGAAATTTCACTAACCGCTACTTCTCGTGATTTCTCATCAATGAACGTTACTTCATCATGCTTCTTTGTCTTTGTTTTCAAGAAGGTTCGAATGATAGCCCGATTCTCACCTCCTGTCTTAATCTGCATTAAATTAGCTTTTGATAAATAACTGAAGTTCACATATATGTTATTAATAACCAAACAACATTTGTCTTAATAAATACTAATGCTCACAGCTTTGGTGAGATTTTCTCGAAATGATAAAGGTGGGCGATGGTGGCGGGGGTTGCCGGCGATGGTGGCGGGGGTTAGGGGTAATGCTGGGGTTGGATTGATGGTGGTGGGGTTTAACGAAGATGGTGGGCCGACGGTGATGATATGAACTGTCAATTTTACGAACGGGGCACCAGAGCACCCCGGGTCATTCCATGACATTGGTTCCCAATGTCATGGGGACTTTGAAGAAATATCTAGAATTAGTACTTTAGTTTAGTTTTTTTTCTTTTTTTGGTTAAAACAATGATCATATTATATTTTTATACAATATTTCAAAAATATTACATACAACTCACAATATTAATCTCAAAATGCTATTTATTGATGCTCTTTTACCTTTAAGGTTTTAGATTTATCGCTATACATATATCAACATTTTCCTTTTGTGCACAAAATGTGAACACACTGATCGAAATTTCTGAGTCCGCCACTGATCATGATGTAATATATATTTTTAAGTAATTCACATTCAAAGTTTCAAAATATTTACCAAAAAAAGCAAAACAAGAAGAAGCAAAGAGGACGAAGAGAATATCTATTTTAAGCATGCATAAAGCCAAGTAATGGGAACATGGAAGAGACGGATTATGCTAAATATCTTCTAGTAAAAGGAGAAATAAATCTCAACAATAATAAATGTCCAAGCCTAGGTTCAATCCCTCTTCAATACAAGATCGAGCTTAAAAATGAAATCAACACAACAATTCAAAGCACTTAATTTAGCCTAGTTCTCAAAGTCCACCCCTGCATCAAGCAAGAAACAATAAAATGTCATCAAGAAACCATCACTACTCTAACTCCAACAAGGGCCACAAGCTCATCATCATGATCTTCCTCCTCCTAATCATTGCCCTTTACATCATTAGACAAAGACTCGCTTCTTCCAATCTCCAATGCCAATGGCAGAGTCCCCAGCCCCTCGAGAAAATCTCGCCTTCTCTAGCCGATGCACTCGTCCACTACGCCACCGCAAACAGGACCCCCCAACAAACCTTTCAGGAAATCTCATTCACCAAAACCGTCCTCCAGAACAGGTCCCCTTGCAACTTCCTTGTCTTTGGGCTTGGATTTGACAGCTTGCTGTGGAAGTGCCTAAATCACAACGGCCGAACCGTGTTCCTGGAGGAGGACAAAGACTGGATCGAGCGCGTGAACGCGATGAGGCTTTCCCTAGAGATCTACCATGTCAAGTACGACACCCGCGTCGAGGAAGCAGTAGAGTTGTTGAGTGTAGGTAATGATAGCATTCTATTACAAGGGTCACTAGATTAGTGTGAACCATATTAAAAGATTGAATTCAATCGTTCGACTCAAAAACTTATGTACCCATTAACATCTTCTCACTTTTTTGATATGGGATACTTTCTGGCAGGTAAGACAGACGAAGAGTGCAAGAAGGTAAGGGATCCGAGACATTCGAAATGCCGATTGGCACTCAAGAATTTGCCCGAGGATGTTTACGAGGCGAATTGGGATGTGATCATGGTGGACGCGCCGAAGAGCTGGACAAAGGATTTGCCTGGGAGAATGGGTGTGATCTACACGGTTGGGGTGATGGCGAAGAACAGAGAAGCTGGTGCCAAAACTGACATCTTTGTGCACGATGCTGAGAGGTGGGTGGACAACAAGTTCTCGAGAGCGTTTCTTTGTGAGGCGTATATTAAGGAACAAGTTGGGGTACTGAGGCACTTCGTTGTCCCTAGTCACAAGACTGCAGGTTCCAATGTATTGCCCTTTTGCCCATAGTATCCACCTAATTACCTCTTCACATCTTCCCAAGGCATCCATCACAAAAGAATTTCCCCATACCCTGCAAAAGAAGCACATTACCATTATTATGGGTGTCCTTTAATTTGTTTGTTCTCTTTACACTTAAGTCATTGTGTTTCTTTCTTTTTTTTTTTTGAGAAAATTACTATTTATAGAATTAAAAGTTAGTCTTTTTTTGTTGTTTGAATGCCTTTTACTCCGAGGGCATAAATTCCCCCCCGAAAAAAAAATACTCCCTCCGATTTGTCTAAATTCAAACTTCTTTTTGATCAGACATGAGTTTTAATGTAAAGTGAAAAAAAAGTGAAGACTTTTTCACTTTTTCCCTTCCTGCGTCATTTTTTCAAAAAGCAAAGTGAACCCATACATTTAAGTATTAAACAATGTATATTATCTTGGGGAAAGTTGCCATGGGATGACCTGGGGGCGCTCCGGTGCCCCGTTCGTAAAATTGACGTTTCCTACCACTCCTAACCCCTCGGTAAACCCCCACCCGGCCCCGATCCGAACACACCCCCCACCCCCTTCAATTGCAACCCACAAGTTGATTTTGACTTTGGAGTCATTGACTCCAAAGTCAAAATCAACTTGTGGATTGCAATTGAAGAGGGTGGGGGGTGTGTTCGGGTCGGGGCCGGGTGAGGGATTTACCGGGGGGTTAGGAGTTGTAGGAACCGTCAATTTTACGAACGGGCCATCGGAGCCCCCTCGGGTCATCCCATGACATTGCCCACCAATGTCACTTGAACCTTTGGGGTATTATCTTTGTCCAGAAATGAATTTCTATCTTAATCCACTTTTTTATTATATTTAGTTTCACTACTCATTTCAAAATTCTCCCCTCATTCGAATTGAATCTTCTCCGTTTGACTTTCAAGGTTAATCTTTGGCCAAATAGCGCTGGCCCCCTCGTGGTTTGCAAAACATGCACCAATACCCCCCTGTTTTCAAAACTCATTTATAAAGTCCTTGTGGCTTTAAAAAGCTGCACCCATGCCCCCCTCTGATCAATTTCCGACCATTTTTCCGGCAAAGAAAGGGGGCATTGGTGCATATTCTTTAAACCATAGGGGGTATCAGTGCTGATTTTTATTTCTCACAATTTTTTTTCCATTTTTTTCCTTTTTTGTTTCATTTATTAATAAATGTTTTTTAAAAATAGTTTTATAATGTTCTTAAAATTTAAAGTTATTTTTGTTTGAAAAAATTAACATATAATGCATATGTACGTCTCAAATTAACAAATTTTGTTTTTTCTGAATAAAAAGTAATTTTGTTAGAACTACAAAAAATGAGGAATAAAATAAGAAACAAAAAATACAAAAATAAAGATGAATATCCTTTTTGGACATCTCAATTGTAATGACTTTTTTAGGCGTGTCTAAATTTTTTTTGTATGAGACTTTTTTGCGTATTTTAATTTTTTCATTTCGATTTTCCATCTTTTATTTTTTTATTCTCGAGTTTTTTTTTTGAACTTTCCAAAAAATTATTTTAAGTAACAAAAAGTGAAAATGTTTTTTTTGAAAATGTTTAATTTGAGATAGATGTAATGTATGTTAATTTTTTATTTCTATTTTCATTTCAAACACAAAGAATATTAAAAATTTTGAAACATTATAAAAAATTGAAAATATATCTTAAAAAAATCTAGGAAAAGGAAAAAGAGATACAAAATATTAAAAAAAAAAGGGAAGAATAATAAATGAAAATAAGAAATAAGCACGAATGCCCCCTATGGTTCAGAAATTATGCGTCAATGCCCCTCTTCGCCGGAAAATGTCCGGAAAATGATCAGAGGGGGTGTGAGTGCAACGTTTTGAAATCACGGGGACTTCAGAAATAAGTTTTGAAAACAGAGGGGGTATTGGTGCCAATTTCTCAAACCACAGGCATCAGAGCTATTTGGCCGTTAATTTTTTTAAACTTTGACTACAAAATACAGAAAAATACATTGAATTGTGATATAAATTTAATGTCAATAAACTCATTCTAAAATATAGTTTTAAAATATTATACTTGGTCCGTCCCTGAGTATTTGTCGACTTTTGACTTTTGGAACTGTTCATCTAAGCATTTTGGCTCATCAAATTCTCACAATGTGTAAGCCTAAAAATAGTCATGTGTGATCTTGTTTGATTTGTCTTAACATATAGATTATTAATATATAATTTTTATAATTTTTTAATATACAAATTACAAGATAAAATGGATTAAAGAAGTGCATTGGATGGTGTGCAAAAATGAAAGTGGACAAACACTCAGGGACGGAGGGAGTACTTTATAATATATATCTTTCTTTGAATAAGGATATTGCATGACAGTGAAAGTCTTACATTGAAAATTGTGAAAAGTCAACTGAAAAGAATAAAAAAGAATGAGTGACTTTAAAATAATAATGCCGATCACCTTTTGCTTAAAAAAGATTAAATTTAACTTTTTAATATGTAAATTTTACTTTCAAATTTTTCAATTTTGTCTAATAATTTGAATTAAAAATAGTTTTGGTCAATCCTCGTAATCCGCAATTCATATTTCAAAGAAATATACCAAAACAAACTCTAATTAATTCTCTAGACTCTCCTCCTTTCCATGTTCAATAATTCTAAGGTTGTCTGTAACACTTTACCATTACGCTTCACCATTAGCTACTTAGTGCCACATCAGCGATAACTATTTTCACCTTCTCATTGATTTCAGACATCTCATTTCTACTGCAATGATTATACTTTTGTTTTTAATTTAATAATTATTTTTTTCTATTCAAAAAAAATTCTATCTTTTATATAAGAATAAAAATAGTAAATTCCATAAAAAGTTCAGAATATTACACGCGGGTGACGTGAGTTTTGTCGAAATAACTTTCAGGTCCCTCTATTTTCAAAAAGACAACCGAGGTCCTTATATTTTGTTGAAATGACCGGGAGGGGACATTTCATCCAATATAACATCCATAAGTGTTAATAAATATATTTTTTTTCCTATTTTTCCAATGCCGTGTTTTCCTATTTTGCCATTACCTTGTTTTTTCTTTTTTTTAAATTTTTTTATTTCATTTGTTTTAATATAATACAAACAATTTTGAATTTTTATACGATTTTATAGAAGAAATTCTAAAATAACACTTTAACAAATAGTAACAAAATGAAAGAAAAACAAAGAAATAAAAAAAAGGAGCGACCTAAAATTTATTACCTTAAAACATTTAGAAAAGAATAGGAAAAAATACATTTATTAATGTTTATAGATGAAATATTGGATTAAGAGCCTGTTCTTTAGGGCTTGAACTCTTAACTTCCAGTTTCTTCCCGTTCCTTCCAGTTTCTTCCAGTTCTTTCCAGTTTCTTCCAGTTCTTCCAGTTTCTTCCAACTTTTCTCTTTTTGTTCAAATTCTTTCTACTCATCAACCAATTACTCTAAAAATGGTATATTTCAATGTGATTATTATTATTATTTTTATTACAACTATTATATTCATAACTATAGTTTATAAATTATTTTTTTCATCTAACTATTTTTACGATTCACACTTATTATTTTTTTCTTCAACTTTGTAATATGAATAAGACATTTTTTTGTATATTAGTCTATATGATAAAACAGGAAAATATCAATATGTTAAATTTTACTAAAAAATTATGGATAAAATAGTTACATTAAATGTTTTATTAATATAACTTTTTATAAGACATCTCAGTTTTCCCTTTATTACTTAAACTTTGCTCATTTTTCTAATTTTTATAAAAAAAATTGTAAGTCAAAAAAACTTAGGGCCTGTTCTTTAGGACTGGAAAAAAAGAGCTGGAAACTGGAAGAAACTAGAAGAAACTGGAAGAAACTGGAAGGAACTAGAAGAAACTGGAAGGAACTGAAAAGAACTGGAAGAACTGGAAGAAACTTAAAGAAACTGGAAGAAACTGAAAGAAACAGGAAGGAACTGGAAGAAACCGGAAGAAACTGGAAAAAATTAAAAGAAACTGAAAAAACTAGAATAAATTGTAAAATCTAAAAAAAGTTTTTAAAAATTTTTTATGTGTGGTTTTAAAATTATTCTCATTCTGATTCTTGTTGATATAAATTATTATTATTGCTATAATAATAATAATAATTATTATTATTATTATTGTAGTTGTTGTAGTTGTAGTTGTAGTTGTTGTTGTTGTTGTTGTTGTAGTTGTTGTTGTTGGTGGTGGTGGTGGTGGTAGTGGTGGTGTTATTACGTTATCTAAATGATTATCTTTAGAATATAAAAAAAATTACGAATATTATTTTCATACATAAAAAGATAGTTTAAAAAAATAATTAGCATAAATATCAAAATGTTAAATAGTTAAGAGTTATTATGGCTATATGTATTTATTATAAAATAATATATTTGTAATTATATTTTATATATTACAAGATTTTGTTTAAAATATCTGACATGTCACATAATGTAATCAAACCTATTCTTTCTTTAAGGATTGGCAATTTATTTCCATTGTAACCCTACTTTTTGAATAAAAACATAGAACTGTTTTTTTNAAAAAATAATTAGAATATAAAATTAGCATAAATATCAAAATGTTAAATAGTTAAGAGTTATTATGGCTATATGTATTTATTATAAAATAATATATTTGTAATTATATTTTATATATTACAAGATTTTGTTTAAAATATCTGACATGTCACATAATGTAATCAAACCTATTCTTTCTTTAAGGATTGGCAATTTATTTCCATTGTAACCCTACTTTTTGAATAAAAACATAGAACTGTTTTTTTTACATTTTTTATGTTATACTCTTACTACATGAAAAGTTCTTCGAAATAAGAGGTGTCAAGAATATTTTATTTTATCAAATAATCAATGAAAACATCGAAATAAATAAAAGTTCCCGCGACTATTTAACCATAATTTTTTAAATAGTTTCCTATTTTTTCTTGTAGATTAATATACAAAAATGGTATTATTCATATTAAAAAGTTGAAGAAAAAAATAATGAATATGAATCATAAAAATAGTGAGATGACAAAATGAAATAATTTATAAACTATATTTATGAACATAAAAGTTGTAATTAAAAAAACTATAATAATAATAATAATAATATATTTTTTAGAGTGATTTGTCAGAAAGTAGAAACTGGAAACTGAAGGAACTGGAAAAAACTGGAAGGAACTGGAAAAAACT